TTTCATGAATTATGAGTCCTTGACAAACTGCTAGCATTAAACAGTGGTTAAGCAACAATTACCTGCAAATGAACTCCGATAAAACTGAAACTCTGATTATTGTGCCGGAAGGTTCCTTTAATTGAACAGTTTATTGGTGTTTTGGGTCCATCTGTCCAGTCCAACCATAGAAACCTGGGTGTCACTTTTGACTCTGCAACATCTTTGAAACAACACACAAAATAACTGACTAGGAACATCTCTAATTTGAAAAATTTCCTGTCAAAAGCGGAACTTGAAATGGTCATTCATGAATTTATTTCTTCTCACTTGGACTACTAGAACAGCCTAATCACGTTTAAACAAGAAGGAGCTGGACCGTCTTCGGCTTGTTCAGAATTCGACTGCAAGACTGTTAGTTAACATAAACAAACGAGCACATATCACACCCGTTTTAGCTTCCCTTCACTGGCTCCCAGTTTATTTTAGAATAAACTTAAAAAATTCTGGTTCTAACTTTTAGAGCCCTACATGAGCAAGCTCCCTCGTATATCTCAGACTTGATCCAGCTTCACATACCATCTCGCAGTTTGAGGTCATCAGATAAGAGGTTGTTGGTGGTACCCCATACACAATTTAAATCCCGAGATCGATCTTTCCAATCAGTTGCGCCTCGGCTCTGGAATGCACTCCCCCAGTCTTTACGCAGCCTTGATTCTATAGATGCTTAAAAAAAAAAGCATCTGAAGACTTTCCTTTATAAACAGGCTTTTAGCTAATAGTTACCCGTTTTCTACTTGCACTTTCTTATGAATGTAATGTTTTTTTCTGACGTTTTTAAATGTATCTTATTCAATTTTTAGTTTGTTTCTTGTCTTATTGTGAAGCACTTTGTGATTTGTATCTATGAAAACTGCTATACAAATAAACATTACGTACTTTTATTGTGTTGAAGAAATCTGTAACATTAGTTTGGATCAGGGGTCTACAGCCTGCGGCTCTGGGGCCACATGCAGCTCTTTAGCGGCTCCTTGAAGCTTATACTTTAAATTTGTGCCATTTTACTTTAAAGAGGGATCCTTATTTCCCAAAACATAAAAAAGGCTCACGCAGGCCTGCAGAGTTCAGCATTGTAATTGTTTTTAAATCAAAACAGGTACATATAAACTATATACTTTTTCCTTTCTTTACACAATTAGGGTCTTTTCTTTTGTCCTAAAATGTAAAAATATTATAAAATGTTACGTCATTGTTTAATTTTGGACAGAAAACCCTTCCTCCAACAAACTCAAAGTGGCCCATGGGCCACCAGTTGGTAATCACAGATTTTGTGGTTCCAGACACGTTTCATGCCGTGAGCGAAGGAGCACAAATGGCTTTTTAATCAGAGGTGGTAAACCCCTACTTTAGAAGTTTTAACAATAAAGCTGAACCTCCATAAGTAGGCGACACACGGACAATTAGTCTGCCACAGCACGGTTTAAAGAACAATCTTTTAATAAAAACAAACATTTTTGTCAACAGTGGTTAAAAAGCATGAAAATGAACACAATATAAAGTATACACGTATAAAAAGTTATAAAGACTTTAAAAAGATGTTTTGTCATTTTAAAATCATCAAAACTAGAATTTTTTTTAAAAAGCCAGCTCAGCTTTTCTTTTCCAGGAGTAGCTGAAACACTGTACACTGTACCACCGTGTGTTTTCATTTCACACCAGATGAGAACGGTCACTTTGAATAAAGCTAATGAAGCAGAGTCTGCTGCAGTCGCATTAAACAGAAGCCGTGTTCGCTCCGACTCTTCGAATCGATCAGCCTGAATGTGGAAACCTGGGAGGCGTTCGGCTGCTTTCATCCATGTTCCAAACATCAGAACCGGACTCCCAGGTCCAGTCCTGCACCGTGAGTTCATGCTGCAGCTGCCTGCACCAGCGTGAGGAACGTTGACTGAGGGAACCATCAATCATCTCATCACCGGCTGCAGTCATGAATGTGACCAGTTCTCTTTGCGCACGTGGGAAATGCATTCAGTATCATCAACATGACAAAGTAAGATAAAAAAAAGTAATCAGTACATCTTGTTGAAACAATAAGAACTACAGCAGGCCGTTTGACCCTTTTTACATAAACCAGGTGTTTTCATGTACAAGCTTCCAGCTGCTGTACAGCAGGCAGGACGACCTGAACTCTGGTCATTAGTAGGCCTGTCACGATAACAAAACTTGCTGGGAGGTTGTCTCAGAAATCATTGTGATAAACGATATTTGAAATGTGACAATAATTATTGTCACATTTATAAGGAAATGTTTGTTAATTTGTTTTGCATGTAGTACCTTTTTTCAACCACCGGATGGCAGTATAAGACTGAACTGAAGGATGGATAGTGAAGGAGCGAGCAGCGTGTCTCTAAGAAAAATGGGAGGGAGGCCCCCTTGACGTGACATGGGCCGTCTCTTCGGTTCTCAAAATGGCAGACACTCTGTGTGGTTTGAGCTCTTTAGCATAGCACTTTTCACACAAAGCTTTTATAAACAAGTCCTCAGCTTCTTTTTGCAGAGAAAACGTTTTACATGAAGACACGGGTTTCAACCATGAATTTTGGAGCTTTGACAAGACGGAGTTTTTTAGTTTCCACACATTATCTAAAGATGCTTTATGAGAAAACAAATACGAGTCAGATGGACCAGATGTTTTGAGGAATTTTAAACCAATAGAAAAATGGAAGAATATCCAAATATCATGAGCACCTACTGGTAAATGTCCAGAGAATCATCAGCAACCAAAAGAGGCTGCTGCTTTAAAATCGTTTCCCACTTCTCCCTTCATACAGCAGACGGCTTTAAATAAACCCAAACAGTCATTTAGATTCATGAGGAGCCTCGTCAGCCATTTTCTCTGTGCCCAAGACAAGAAGGTGTTTCCACATGATAATCTTCTTCTAATATGCAAACTGTGATTCAAGCACTAAATTGGTTATGATGATTGAAGTATTAGTCAAATCTGTCTGAATGGCCATTTGAAAATCCAAGATGGCTGCCAGAATGAGCTTATTTCTGCACGGTAATCAATAATTAATGCAATTACTTGATCAATTTAAATGATATTTGTGTCAATTCATATTTTCTTCTGTTAGTAGTATGTACTCTGCAAGTAACATATATTAGTAAATTACTAATACTGGTAATTATCATAAATCAGCCATCTTGGATTGTCAGCTGGTTAAGCAGGTAGAAGAATTCAGGAGAGTCTTGGGACCAAATGAATATTAGCTGCTTCACTAAATGTTTCCAGAACATCAAGCTTGACTTTTGTCCTTTTGTAGGAAAAACAAACAAAACAAACCAAAAAAACATAAAGGAGCTGAAAACTGTCTTTGGCAAACCCGCTCCAGGAAATAACATTTCATATCTGGTCATTTATATCTGTAAAACAAAGTCTTTACCTGGGCCAACAAGTCTACAAATAAAATATGACAAATCTTCAGAGGCAGCCGCTGACATCTGGGCGTCCTCGTAAAGATTTGAGTAAATTCTGCCTGTTAACAAAATGTACCACAAACCACTGACGGATTTAAATTGAAACTTAAAGGAAATTATCTTGGAATGTCCCTCTACAAGTTCATTTGACAGATATTGTACTAAAACTCGTTGCGGCTGTAGGTTAAAAATTTTCGCAGCATCTAGTGCAACATTAGCTGCTGGACTCAACCTGGTCTGTCAGCAAAATATCTCATGATGCCATCTAATGAAACTTTCAGAATGTAATTATACAACCAATTAACAGTTAGGAGTCGATCCCATTCAAGATGACCGCCACAGATAATAAACATTAATTAAGACAACAATCATTTGTGTTCAACTTTGATGCGTGACAGAACCGGTACCAGACAGATTAATGTTGATAAAAACAGTTTCAGCTTCTCACAACAAAAGGAGAATAAAACTGACGCACACCTTTAATGAAAGAAAGTTTTTCTCTGGGTTTATAACGTTCTGTTGAACTCTGGTCCCAGCGTGGATTACAAAATAAGGGATTTCAGACAATATAAAAACTAAAGGAATGGAGTGGAAAAAGGTCTCAAGTGTTCTCAAAACTAGAGCCTCAGTTCCAAAAGAGTTAAGTCAGGTCCTCTGGATGGATTCTTAATGTTGAAACATTTCATCTTTTACCCAAAGACTCCTTCAGTCTGAGGAACTGCAACCAACTCAGTCTTGTAAATAGCACCTTCTCATAGTGGATCAACCCGTTTGTTGTTGACACCCAGAACTAGTTGTTCACATGATAAAGGAGGACCATCAGTCTAACCACTGGTAATGCCCTGATATCTGCTTACTATTCACAGGGGGCGAGTGATACAAGCAATAACAGCATTGTAAGAGGGGGACAGTTGAACATGGAGACCTCCGTCCCTGTTTAATGATGGATGGTTTATCTTCAAAAAGATGGCTTCCTTCACTCTTCTCTCAAACCATCATTCATCTCTATCAAAGATGTGAACATCTTCATCCCTGAAAGAGTTTCGCTGGCCTGGAGGTGAGTGTAAACCACAGAGTCCTTGGTGCGTTGTTAATGCGTCTCCTTGGTAGAAAGGAAAGTGGGTTTGAGAGGAGTGAAGGAGGCCATCTTTGTGAAAAGAAACCATCCATCATTAAACGGGGCGGAGGCTCCGTGTCCAACTGTCCCTCTCTTACATTGCTGTTATTGCTAGTATAATAAAGGTTATAATGTTATTAAAAATAAAAATAAAGGTTGAATGAATGAAAAACTATCACTCAACTCTCTGAGCAAGCAGCCATCAGGGCACTAACGATCGGTCGTTAGGCTGATGGTCCTCCTTTTTACATGTGAACAGTTAGTTCTGCATGTGATCAGCAAAATAGTTGATGAAGGTGATATTTATAAGACTGAGTTTGCTGCAGCTCCTCAGACTGAAGAAGTTTTTGGAGAAAAGACGAAACATTTCAACAAGAAGAATCCATCCAGAGGACCTGACTCAACCTTGTTAGATTGATCTACCTGGATTATTGAGCATGCATCAGGACATGCAGCCTCAGTTGTTGCCCTGCGGATTACCAACGATCTTTGAATGGATTGTAGCTTTCGTCTCAGTTGTAGTTTTAGGTTTTCTGATGTCGGTTTCCAGGACCGAGTGATTCAGTGTTTTTTCTCTGAGGTAGACTGGTTTTGCCACTGAAGGCTGGTTTTTCTCCCCATCACAGCTGTAGTCCAGCAATGGCTCTGAATGAAGGAAGAAAGAAATCACACTGGCTCGTTTTGTGTTTCTCCAGGTTCCTCAGGATCCTGAACATCTTTCCACACGTGTCGCAGGTGAAAGGTTTCTCTCCCGAGTGAAACCTCAGGTGGGCCTTCAGGTTGTCTCGCAGGCGGAAGCTTTTTCCGCAGTGCGAGCAGGTGTGCGGCCTCTCGCCCGTGTGGAACCTCATGTGGCGCCGGAGGCTCTTCCTCAGGGCAAACGTCTTGGAGCACATTGAACACGGGTACGGCTTCTCTCCGGTGTGGAAGCGCTCGTGCCGACGTAGAATCTTCCTTCGTTTGAAGGCTTTCTTGCAGATGTTGCAGACGTAGCCGTCCCGGGAATGGGTGACGATCTTCTGGAGGCGCCAGACGCCGTTTCCACACTGGGTGAAGCAGCAGAGGCGATGGCCTGTGTGTGGACCCTGATGTCGACGGAGGTCTTTGGGTAGAGGCCAGCCTTCACCAGGGTGGACTTGTTGAGTTTTTCCAGGTTTACCTTCGGTCTTTATCTCCGACTCTGGGACTGCAAGCACATCCACCAACTGCACAGCACACGGTTGCAGCAGCTTCTGATCTTTAGACGTGAGTTTCAGTTTCATCTGGAGGAGGTTCTTGGTCTCTTTGGGCGTGTGGATCCACTCCCACACCTCGGCCTGCCCGGGAGTCACCGCTCCATCTGATGGGGACGGACTATAAGCGCTGCCCTTGGCGGTGCTGACACAGGCCTGCTGAGGTTCAGCCTTACCAGGTTCCTCTGACTTGTCCACTTTGGGAACCAATGAGTCAGGTTTAAGGATTAACGGAGGAACAGACTTTACCTCATCCTCAGAGGAATCCCTTGGTTCTGGTTTAACCACAAGGAAGTTCTGTTCAGCAAGACAGCTTTGGGTTGACAGGTACCTCAACGTCTCAGGAGCCATCTCTGTAGAAAATGAACAAAAATCTGGGGTTTCTAACATTTCTGATTTAAACATGTCTGACCTATAATATGATACATTCTGATTTATTCTGCGGTGTGTGGTGATGGTGAGTGTTTGCTTCCATTAGCAAAATATCTCACAAACCCATAGACTTTAACAAAACTCAAAGAAAGTAATCATTAGACATTAATATCTGATAAACATTTGGAGATCCCTGTGTGCCCACTACAGACGGATGCGGTCAACAGTTTTTCTACACGAGTAGATGAACAACAGTAACAGAGGTGGAGAGTGCCGTTTGTCCTGCTCACCCTTTTCAACATGTAGGAGCAACTAAACCTCACCCTCAGTCTAAATCAAGGTTTGTGTTCCGTCTTATTTTAGATGGAAGTGATTTCCTGCTCGTGACTGAACTGTCTCTATATCTTGTTAGAAAGTGAGTTTCTTCAGCTGCTCCCCTCTGCAGGGGTCGCCACAGCGAGCGAACTCACATGAAGGATTTGGCAATTGTTTTATACTGACTGCAACTTCCTGACCCAACCTGGGCTCAAACACCAAACCTCAGGATAACAAGACTGCAGCATTGACCGCCAAGCTACTGCAGTCCGTCTCACTGGAATCCAAAAATCACAGCACCAGTGTTGCCAAATCTACAATAATTATCATAATTATAGATCGTTTTAGGGTCAAGCCACCACCTTTTCTGTGCTCATGTTGACCAATCAGAATGAACATCTCATCTTACAACCCCCTATCCAATGTTGTCCATGAAAGCGCACCCTCACTCAGCTCAGACGATAATTTGGATCAAAATACAATTTTAACGCAACGGAGCAATATTTCGCCATTTCCTATCTGGCAACCCTGCCCAGAATGAAAAGTACAACAGGTTCAACGAGCAAAGGATCACAGCGTAAACGAGTTGTTTTCATGTTGATTGCCACAATCATGGTCGGGAAAATGCCAACGTTTCCAGAGATTGCTCACGTGTTAGCATGACCTTCATTTAAAGTCTGGCATGAAAGGCAGCGGCGATATGTGTGGCACTATGTATAGATGAATATGTGAAAATAGTTGCCTCCATTGTATTGGTATATGATTTGTATATGCAAGGTCACTAGAACTATTGGTTATGTCCATTTTGCTATAAAATAGTGTAATACAGGTTTCACCAGCAGAGGGCACTCAGTACCTCACGCATCACTGGCTGACACTACAGCAGAAGGTACGTCACTGGCTGACACTACAGCAGAAGGTACGTCACTGGCTGACACTACAGCAGAAGGTACGTCACTGGCTGACACTACAGCAGAAGGTACGTCACTGGCTGACACTACAGCAGAAGGTACGTCACTGGTTGACGCTGCGGCAGAAGTTTAGTCGGTACGTGGTGAGGAAGTGTACAGACACATGCATGCTTTTGTTAACCTGTATTTTTGTGTTTGGCAGGTAAGCTGGGCTGTAACTATTTATACAAGTAATAAACAACAGTAGTAATAGATCATAAGTGTCTTAAGAGTGTAACAGATTTTGAGCTAAAGAGTGAATTCATAAGCTGCAAGTTTGTAGAGGCAACTCACCATATTATATTAGCTAAGATGGTGGACTTATCGTCCGTGGCATTCGTGGTGATAAACCAGAAAACTGTTTAATGCTTTTGTGAGTTCTGTGAAGGCAAGAGTTTATGTTGTGGGTTCAAATGAGATAAGCTAACTGCTAAGCTAAAAAGCACATATGTGGGCCCATTCCAGTGCTAATACAGTTATTATGCCGTGATGAAGGTCCGAATTGCCCACACATGTACTTTGAGGTATATATGCATTAAGTATTTTTGTGAAGTAATTAGAGGAAGCGTAAAATATTTTAGGTTCATCTTATTAAGGGTGAATACAGTAAAAGACTTGGGTTTAAAATAGGTTTAGTTTAATAAACACAGTTTGTAAGTGTAACTCATCTAAGGACAAAATAATGATTGTAAACAATGTCTTGCACTATAAAACTATAAATATAAACAAAGTAATGCTGTTTGTTACAACAGAGATGATGACAGTATTTAGGGCTGGGCAATATCTCGATATTTTTAAAATATCGAGATAATTTTTTTTGCGATATAAGTTGAGACTATCTCGATATAAAACAATATAGTTTTATACTTGGAAATCCTTCGGTCTTCTTTCTCCTACTTGCCCCTCTCCTTCTACCTCCTCGAACACAAACACACAGCCCTCAGCCGTGCTTCCACTCCTCTTCCTGCTTCTCCAGGAAGTGGGCGGGCAGCAGGAGAGACGTTTAGCTGCAGTAGCGTGTGTGAAGCTACAGCTCTGACAGACCTGTCTTCTTCCCTGAAGCAAACCATGGTTCAGAACTCATTTAGCCATTGTCAAGTGATGTGCATTTCAGGTGAGGTATGAAGTCAGTTCTCATGACCTAAAAGAAGGTTAAGAGCAGTACAAACTACAGATAACCGAGTATGTGTTCTGAAAAAGCAAGAAAGATTTATTTACTGAAACAAATCTATATAATATAATAGTATGTAACAGTGTGTGAAGTCTTTCTAATGTTCTATGTTTTAAGAGTGTGAAATCCTATGAATTAAGACTCAATCAATCAATGCTGAAGAAATTATAGAGCTTAAATTAAGAGATTAAAGGGAAAGCTTATATTGAAAGTGAGTCGACTTTAAATGATTAAGTAAATGACTTAATGTTACTAACTAAAAAGTGAAAAGAATCAATGGTCAAAAGGTCAAGTTCACAGCTTAATGTTCGTGTATCAAGTCACCACAGGAAGTGGAAGTCTGAACACATGGCCAGGCCAGTAGGAGGAAAAAGAGGAAGTTATCTGCAGAAAACAGGAACAAGTTACCTTAAGTCAGTCCTTCTCAAATGGTGGGGCGGAGCAATGCCAGGAGGGGTGCATGTGACCCGGGGAACATTTTGCAGAAGGGATTTGTTTTTTTTCCACCATTCTCATTTTGTCAGGGTGCGTTCGGCAACTGTTTGCTAAAATCTGTCAGCTCTCAGACTCGCTAATAATAAAGTTATGAACAAATATGTCCGTCTTGTCATTTGGGGAGCCATGTTTGTTGAACCGTGTCACTTGTCACCCACAGCACGCATGCAACGGAGAATAAACTCAAAGCAAGAGCGTTACCTGCCCCTCTTCCTCTTTTACGTCAACATTTATTTTGAGTTTGTCAAAGCACAATTTTTGCGTTTTTCAATACAGAAGTAATGTTTAATAAATGTTAGGACTCTATTCTTTGCTAAAAAGTCCTCAGCTCTGGACGCATTTCACCCACAGCGTGCATGCAACAAAGAGTATAAACTCAAAGAGTATAAACTCAAAGCGAGAGCGACACCTGCCCCCTCTTTCTTCTTTCACGAAGAAAGAGCCTGCTGTCGGTGGCCCCAGTCACCTCAGGTAATTTTTGGTCAACTTTTTGTAGTGTTTTGGCCTGCTGGGACTGGAAGCCCCATTTTCACTTCTTTTTTGTAGTGGGTTTTTGTAGGGTTTTTTTTAAGTCTGGTGTCCAGTGGCTTCGACGGCCCTTTATAGGGTTGGCCCGATGTGGTACCTTTTTGTTCTGTTTGGCCGGCCCACCAGGTCCATCTTTAAGTTGTTACTTTGGATTTTTGTGTTTCTTGGGGTGGACATGGGAACTGGGGTTCCTGGTTTTTCCCCTTCTTTTCAGGAAGCTGCAACAGGTTTTTAATAAATTGAATGTTTGAACCCCTACTTGTGTCTCGTGTCCTCCTTTTAATGTGTTATGTTCATGGTGGACGTAACATATTAAATGGGGGCTCATCCGGGTTTGGATATAACTCAGGTGGTAACTCCACTGGGTAGATTGAGACCGTGCTGTGCCTTTTAGAAGAACACAGAGAGGAAGCGCGACATTAATAAATCAGCAGTTTATCATGTCGCTAAAGATACGGTGACGGGACCGTATCTTTAGCGACATGAAAAAATGCTGATTGGGGACTGCCATTATTCTACACCTCGGAAGAGTGTCTACATTTCCATCTCCATTAATGCGGCCTGAACCACAGTGTCCAACCCACAAAAGTTATATCAGAACGACTGGCTCGGTCCCGTGATGTGTGCTATTACTTTTATTGGCATTTTGAGTTACCATGGCAACGTAATTTGTGAAAAAGACGCAATATTTCACCAACTCCAGGAACTAGTTGGTGACAGCCCACTTATTATTCTACACCTAAAAAGTGTAGAGTTTTCAACTTTAATGCGGCCCGAACCACAACGTGGACCCCCACAAAAGTTATATCAAAACGACCGGCCCGGCTCCGGGAAGTGTGCAATTACTTTTATTGGCATTCACAGTTACCATGGCAACATATTTTGCTAACAAAAATGCCAAATTTCCCATAGGAAATTAATAGGAAAAAAACTCTTCACAGAAACTGAGTAACATATGGAGCCTTTTTGGTTCAACATGCAAGGAAGGCACCTATTGTTACCGAATATCACAGGAACTTTCTAGTTTATTAATGTCGTGTTTCCTCTCTGTGTTCCTCTAAAAAGGCACAGCACGGCTAAATGAGCTCTGAACCGTGGTTTATTTCAAGGAAGGAGACAGGTCTGTCGGAGCTGCAGCCTGCAGTTTCAAGGTTCCAAGAGGGGGCTCACTACTGCAGTTCACACATGCTTACTAACGTGAAGGCGGCGCAGCTGAATGGACTATAAAGCACCTTTCTATCTTATCAAGACACTCAAAGCTCTTTACAACACAATCTGCTCCCTCATTTACCCACTCATACACTCTTAGATCTCTACAAAGAATAATCAGAGCTTTAAATCACACTCATACACCGATGGGACCCACATCAGAGGCAATGAGGGGTTCAGTATCTTGCCCGGGAACACTTCAGCATGTGACTACTGGTGGAATCGAACCCCCAACTCTCCCACTGAAGGACGACTGCTCTAGCCTCTCAACCACAGCTGCCCACAGCTGAAGAAGATTATCATTTAATATATGTAAATACATGTCCAAAAAATAAACTATTTAATATATGTAAATAATTTATTTTTTAGGCATTTATTTTGTACAGTTACAGCCGTGGTTAATAAATGTGCCTGTGTGACAATTGGGACAAAACTTTGGACTCAAATATAATTTTGTTATAACTTTATGGAAAGAAAAAATATTGTATATTGCGATTTTTGTAAAAAAAAAATAAAAAAATTGAGATATTAATTTTGGTGCATATCGCTCAGCCCTAACAGTACTGATAATGTGTTTTACAGCCCAAGTGTATTGTGTTCTGGTTGTAAGGCAGAAGTTTAGTCGGTACATAATGAGGAAGTGTACAGATACATGCACCATGCACGCTTTGTTAACCTGTAGTTTTGTGTTTGTCAGTTTCAAAACAAAATAAATATGTTGCACTGGAGATGAGCTGGGCTATAATTTCTAAAAGTGTAACATATGCATAGAGATTAGGCATTCCTCCAGAGAAGGGTAGGTCCTTAATTATTGTAGTGGTTAGGGGTGTAACGGTACGCTAAAATCACATTTCGGTTCGGTTCAATTTCAAGGAGGGCTCGATTCGGTTCACTTTCGATACAAAAAAAAAAAAAAAAGGACAAAATAAAGACTTACAAAACGTTTATTTTGAAAATATGCCAAGTAAACAATACGTTTGTATAAAAATAAATAAAAGCGACCCATTTGGATGATATTTTAAATAAACGGCACTCTTTACAATAAATAAATAAACTTTCAACTCCTCGCCCTTTCCACATCTAGAACAATAAAATTAATCCTATACCACAATAAACACTTTGTTTTAATGTTTTCACATTAAAACGTCTCACACATGTCTGCACCTGTTTAGATCTTAATTGCTGGTATTTTTATATTCTCTGTTATTTTTTATATATTTTCCCTTGTGGTTGTTCCTTTGTACCGAAACTGGCACAATAATTTCCTGCGGGATCAATAAAGTTCTATCTTATCTGAAGTTAAACGCATGCCCAGACCAACAGTGTTGTTTAACCGTTGGCGTGCCCAGTGAGCTCTTACCATTCACTTCAGCCTGAGCAGCTGGAAACTGCAGCTCAAGGACGCTGGACGCCCCTGGATCCACAGAGTCTGCTACGATCTGCCAACACATGAAACAGAGCTCAGTTACACACAACTTGTTTGGGTTTACCACATTCCAGCAGAGGAAACCAGATAAGAAGGCTGGTACTTCCAGCTCCACTGGTGAGTTACGCCCAGGGGATATGTCACAGACCTGAGGCCCCCACTCAGGGTCAGCATGAAGGGGATCTTCAGCCAGGAAGGACTCTGGGCAAGTGATGAGACACCCCTCCACCACCTCACTGGAATCACCCAGACACTGGAGAAAAGTGGAGTCTGCTGGGGAGAGGGGGAGGGGTTAGGGAGGACAAGCTCGTGCATTCCTGAAGTTTGGTGCAACAATGCTTAAGATTTTCAAAGGAAGGGCGAGTGCATTAAAAGTAAACATGCACGAAGCATTCTGAGCATGCGCAACCAAACAGCTTCACAGGAGACGACCAGGAAGACAAAATGTGGACACAAACCGAGGTCCAGCGGGAGACAGATGTCCTCCTCCACCTGGACGCCGATGCTGCGTTTTCTGTCCCCCACAGACACACCGAGCAGACTCTCAAAGGCTCTGCCGTGCTCCGCTGCCCCTCCCCCGGGGTGGCCCACATACGCAGCCGAGGCTCGGTATCTTCTCTCGAACAGCTCGACCAGCTCCACCGAGGCCGCCTTCACCAGCGCTCCCAGCACCGACTCCACCTGCGCCTGCAGGTTCACCACACCCGCCGACATTTTCCCTGCGAGACCTCTGTCGAAGTCACGGCTCACGCCTAAATTCAAGTGGAAGTGGACGGTTAGCTTTTATTTACCAACTACAGCCACATGGCCTTCGGAAGGGAGGGGCGTGGTGTGTTCTGGCGCATGCGCAGTGCGGACAGTTCAGCTAACAGGCGGAACTGGGACCTTCCGCCTCAGTACTCATAATAATAATAATAATAATAATAATAATAAAAACTACACTTCATGAGCAACGTTTGAAGAATTGTTAGAACAAAGCAATGATTCAAAACAATATTGCAGTCCAAAGAGTCTCTGATGTCATTCAGTCCATGCTGAGGTTTAAAAAAATACACAATTTACAGGAAAAACATGCTGCTCAAATGTTCTGTTTGCATAATCCCAACTCCCATTGACTTGCAAATCTCAAACATATCAAATGTTGAAACCAATAAAGTATACATTTATTCTTGTTTGTTTTAAATTTGATTGCAGCATCACACTTTTAAAAAGTTGATGCAGGGTCAACCAAAGGCTGTAAAAGTGATACAAATAGGAAACAGAGAGCCTTTTCCATAAATCATGTTTGTCAACAGAGACGTTTAGAAAGGCCAAACCTCTCAGAAAGAATGATGGGCAGAGGTTCACTAGTCGGTGAAAAAAACTATAAAAATTGTGTCTTGAAGCATTCTCATTAAAACAGGCAGATAAATCGAACAAGGTTAAGTTATGTCCTCTGGACGGATTCTTCTTTTTGTTTCTTCTTATATCCAAAAGACTTTGTCAGTCTGAGGAGCTGCAACAAACTCAGTTTTATTATTATTTAAACCTTTATTTTACCAGGAAATAAATCCATTAAGGTTATTAATGTCTTTTACAAGGATGTCCTGGGTGTCCTATATAAATAGCACCTTCTCATAGTGGATCAACCAGTTTGCTGATGTCAGCCAAAACCACATGCTCACATGACAGAGGAGGACCATATAACAATGGATCATTAGCACCCTGATGGCTGTTCACTACTCACAGAGGGCTGAGTGATACTAGCAATCACAGCATTGTAAGAGGGGGACAATTGAACACGTAGGCCTCCACCCCTGTTTAACGATGGACAATTTCTTTTCACAAAGATGGCCTCCTTTACTCCTCTCTCAAACCATCGTTCCTCTCTGTCCAGGATGTGAACATCTTCATCCCTGAAAGAGTGACCGCTGGCCTGGAGATGAGTGTAGACCGCAGAGTCCTGGCCTGATGATGTTGATCTTCTGTGCTGGGCCATCCTTTTGGCCAGTGGCTGTTTAGTTTCCCTGATGTAAGACTGATCACCCTCCTGACACTGAACAGCATACACAACATTACTCTGTTTGTGCCGGGGGACTGGATCTTTGGGATGAACCAGTCTTTGCCGTAATGTATTTTGGGGTTTAAAAGCCACTGGGACGTTATGTTTAGAAAATAAACGTCTCAGTTTCTCTGATACTCCCTCAACATACGGAATGACCACTGGTCTGGGTCTGGGTTCCTCCTTTTCACCTGATGGCTGACTGGAGTCCTGTTTGGGTTTCTTCTCTGCTTTCAGGAAGGCCCAGTTAGGATATCCACATTGCTCTACAGCACTTGTGTCAAACTCAAGGCCCGGGGGCAAAATGTGGCCCTCGTTGACATCTTATCTTGCCCCCAAGATGTTATTTTAAATGTAAAATACATTTTATCACTTTCTTTTTCAGTAATTTTTTATTATAATGTCAAAAGTGCAGCAGGGAACATCAAATGAGACCAATCAAACTCTTGTTGAGGAACCTGCAACCAATAAAAGATGTTGAGTATCTAACTCGTGTTAATGTAGATTCTGAAATCGGCCCTTAGTTTGAAAAAGGTTTTAATTTCAGACCCCTTTTGTAAGTGAGTTTGACACCCCTGCTCTAGAGCCTGTCTTGTGTGGGATTTCTCCTTCTGCCTGGCTCCTGAGTTAGTGGGGATGTTGTCTGCTCTGTGGTACAGAGTCCAGATGACTCCTAACGTGCTCCAGGAGGTGATGGGAGTCAAACTGCAAATACTGGTCTGTGTGGGTGGGTTTGCGGTACACCTTAGAAACAGACCTCACAGTCCAAAAAAGCCAAACTGCCATTTTTTACATCTTGTGTGAACTTGATGTATTTATCTACAGAGTTGATGTGATCAGTGAAATGTTGGACTTCCTGAGATTTAATTTTAACCCAGGTGTCATCAACATACCTGAACCAATGGCTTGGTGGTGTCAACTGTAAATTGTGAAAAATGACATTACAGATTTGCTACATTTTTAATAAAATGCAAATAGTGATCTTAGCTCAGTCATTAAAGTCGCAAACATGAAGAAATAAAAATAGAAACGGCCATCATTTGATTGACGTTGATGTCCATTTCATTATAGACGGAATCAAAATTAAACTATTGTCTCATCAACTTTTTTAATTTGTTAATATAAAACCATTCTTGCATTTCAACCATGCTTCACATCTTTCAAATCTAAATCTTGAAGTTTGTTTGACTTTTTGCCAGTCCTTCTCACAGCACTTGAAAATCTTTAGAAATTAAAAATGGCAGGAACTGAAGCCAGCAGGTGTAATCTGTTTGTTCTGCAAACATCTTGTGGCACACACTTCTACTGCTCTTCCTCAGCCACGATGTGTGCAGAATGACCTTTTCTGTTTTGTTGAAATATTATGAAAATCCTTATATCAATATGTTTTCTTATAGGCAGAATGTTTTCTTTAAAATCTAAGTGGATTTTTGTGAAATGTGCTGTCACAAAAAGACAAATACATTTACTCAAGGATGCTGGTCGTAGAGTCTGGCTTTGAGACTTGTTCCTGAGAGCAGCCTGTGTGGACTTTTTTGTTTGTTTGTTTTTGACCTAACCATCAACTTCTGGTGCTCCAAAAGATCTGGAACATGAATCCCACTGACTACAATACATTTCCACTGTGTGATGGTCCATCCCAAATGTCTCTGAGCCCAGAAAAGTTGTTGCTATATCTCACCAAAGTTACATCATAAGAGAGATCACCAGTGTCCATAATGATCAGAACTTATCCAGATTTCCTAGGATGATATTATACATACAGGTGCTGGTCATAAAATTAGAATATCAAGAAAGAGTTGATTTATTTCAGTAATTCCATTCAAAAAGTAAAACTTGTACATTATATTCATTCATTACACAGAGACTAATATATTTCAAATGTTTTTCTTTTAATTAATGTTGATGATAACTGGCAACTAATGAAAACCCCGAATTCAGTATCTCATAAAATAGAATATTGTGAAAAGGTTCAATGTTGAAGACACCTGATGCCACACACTGATCAGCTAATTAACTCAAAACACTTGCAAAGGCCTTTAAATGGTCTCAGTCTAGTTCTGTTGGCTGCACAATCATGAGGAAGACAGCAGACTTGACAGTTGTCCAAAACTCAACCATTGACACCTTGCACAAGGAGGGCTAGACACAAAAGGCCATTGCTAAAGAATCTGGCTGTTCACAGAGCTCTGTGTCCAAGCACATTAATAGAGAAGCGAAGCGAAGAAAAAAATGTGGTAGAAAAAAGTGTACAAGCAATAGAAATAACTGCACCCTGGAGAGGATGGTGAAACAAAACCCATTCCAAAAGGTGGGTGAGATTCACAAAGAGTGGACTGCAGCTGAAGTCAGTGCTTCAAGAACCACTACGCACAGACATATGCAAGACATGGGTTTCAGCTGTCGCATTCCTTGTGTCAAACCACTCTTTTTTCAGTCAACCTTAATTTACACAGGTTAATCCCAAACATCATAAACATGCATCACAAACAAACATCCCTGAGGCTGTTAGACTCATGAATCTCTAACAATAATAATCACTGAAGAATCACATCATGTGCTGCTGATCTGTTTCATGTTGCTTGTTGCTGTGGTCATGCATGCTCATCTGCCACAACACAGACTCGTGTTCATGCTGTTATTCTGCGTATTGTTTTTATGCTATTAGTGCTTAGTGTATATTTAGTTTGTTTTTCTTAGTTCATAGTCTTAGTTCATATCTTAGACCTTATTACTGCTTTTCTTTTAAATTTTATTGTTGGATGTAACTGGTACCTTGTGTACATAATTTCACTCCACCACATGTACCACATGTGGTGAGAATGACAATAAAGAATATCTGTATCTGTATTTGTGTCCCATTGAACATCGGAGACTCATTTACAAGCGAGACCTGGTTTTATCAAATGCCCCATTAGTACCTTTACTGGTACAGCACGGTTTGACTTGGCTCGGTACGGTACAAGTTGCGTTTCCATTAATCAATCAACCTTTATTTATACAGGTAAATCCCATTGAGCCTCGAGGACTCATTTACAAGAGAGACCTGATTTCAACAAAGAAAGATGACAACAATGGACAACAGCAACAACAATAAGCAGTTATAAAAACTCACTACAGTTTTTTTTTTTTTTTTTTTTTTTTTAACAAATAGGATGGCTAAAAGGAAAAAGGTAACAAAACCAAAAAAACAGCTAGATTCCAAGACAAATGTATAAAACTAAAAACAGGAACATGTCAGCATTGGACCCTGCCAGGAGTCCAACAGATTCTTAAAGCCACTTAGAGAGGTCAAGGTCGAGAGCTTCAAATCTTTTTGTAAGATATTCCAGGAAACAGGAGCGGAGTAGGAGAAGGCCCTTTTGCCTAGTTCAGTCCTCACTGAGGGAACACTGCAGGTAATAATGTCCTGAGAGCGCACTCCGTAGCTGCACTCACGCAGAGACATGTAGGAGGAGATGTATGAAGGCAGCAGACCAAGAAGTGATTTAAAGATGAAAATGTACCAGTGAGAGAGTCTGCGTGAAGTTAATGATGTCCAGTTAACCAGTGAATACAGGGTGCAGTGGTGGGTACGATAATCACAGCCAGTTATGAATCTTAGTGCACCATGATAGACAGCATCCAACATCTGCAGGGTTCTTGTAGGAGCGTTCATGTAAATAATATCACC